GCGTCTTCAGTTTGCTGCCATCAGGAAGGATACTGAAGAGCCTCCGGGCCAGAACACGCAGACTGAGAGACAGCTTCGTCCATCGGGCTGTCAGGATGCTGACCATCTCTGAATCGAGAAGAACCACACCATCTTACAGTGCTGTGATTGTAGCCATTCTGCACTTTCTGTGAATGCTACTCATGGCCATTGATCGGTAAGCTTTGATTAGTTGTCATTGATCAATGGTCATAAGAATTTGCCTACTAACAATCATGGAACTAACCCCCCAGCACTTTGTTCATTCAGTGGCGCTAGTTTCCTTCACTATCCAAATGTACTGTTTATAAGTTTGGGGAAACCTGCAGTCAGCTGAGACTGAAGAAGTCACTTGGATGAGTGACGAAACGTTTCTCCCACTAAAAATGTCCAGATGAACAGAATCAACCTTTTGGAATTTACTTACCTGGATGATTAAGCACGCATCAAGATGTTATTTTATTAAAATCTTTAAAATGTTAGCAGCACAAGCATTTGACATCAATTTTGTTTGATTCCATTAATGTGGGGGGGCTGGTTGACCTCTGTTGACCTCTAGAAATCTTTGTTAATATCTTTAAAATCATAGCGGCACAAACAAAAAATTTTGCAGCACAAACGTTTGACATCAATTTTGTTTGATTTGGGTAATGTGGGGGGTCTGGTTGACCTTTTGACCTTTACATTTTCATTAATATCTTTAAAACAGAAGCAACACAAACAACAATTTTAGCAGCACAAACCAGCACAAACCAGCACAAACGTAGCACAGTTGATTGACAACCATTTGGTTTGATTTAATTAATGTGGGGGGGCTGGTTGACCTCTGATGACCTCTAGAAATTTTTATTAATATCTCTAAAATGATAGCAGCACAAATGAAATTTTTTGCAGCACAAACGTTTGATACCACTTTTGTTGGATTTGAAGAAGGTGGGGGCGCCAACTTCACTCACATTGTGTTTTCTTCTTTTATCAGTGTTGATGGTGTTTACACAGGGAGTTATTCACACACTAGTTTGTGCAACTGAAGTAGCTTTGAGTGTTTGAAGTCGTTCAATAGTAGATTAACTTTGGTTTAGTGTGTTGTGGAGGTTTTCCATTAAATAAAGCCTGCAGACGAGCGGTAGCTAACATTCTTTAATCAAAACACAAAGAACAGACAACCAAGTTGGTGGAGACTCTGCATGACCGTGGGGAAGACGGTCATGCTGAGTCTCACTGAGTCTAGCATGGCTCTCAGTTAAATACCTTTTCCAGGAACAAAAGGCAGTACACAGCTGTTTCACACCTTAAGGTTCACACTCCCTTGCTAACTTCCAGAGTCCTCAAAGAGACAAAAGTTTCTTCCTGTGGAGTTGTCTGCTTCCCCCAACTTCCTTACTACACCCCCACCATTTGTCTTACTGTATGAGTGTGGAACATGTTTAAATCCAGTGGCACCAAGGTATCATACAATAAAATAATGTGATTAATACATAAATAAAATAAATTCCTATACAATCGTCATAGAGCCACTGAATGAGTCCACTGAGCTTCAGCTGTCAGACGGCCTGATATTTATCTTGTCTGATGCATTGATGAGATCAGATCAGATATTCAGGCCCATAAAGCACACTCAAATCATGACTCATGTCTTTAAAATGAGGCTGTTGGTTAATGGTTTTTGTGAGCAGTCACTGCATGTAGAAAAAGTAAGCTTACTCTGTCAGACTGTATTTTGTAATTTGCCTTGTATGATATTTACAAAGAGCGGCCTAGCTTTGAGTCAACAGTCTCAGCGGTTTTCCCCTGTAGTTTATGCGCTGCCTCAAAAAAAATACTTCATTCTCGTCCAGTTGTCATACAGATTTGTTGTGTAGTGTAAGTGAGGGTAGCAGGTGGGAGAGAAGCAAATGAATGTAAACAGCTAGCAGAAAGACAGCAGAGGTTAACCTCACTAAAGGACAGAATCTCACACACAGGGTAATACGTCGGCTTTAACCTCTTTAATTTAAACTAGTTCCATTGTCCTTCGTGTCATCTGAAATGTTCTTGGCTTTCATTAGAAAAGTTTTTCTGTCATTGCTGCATGTCGGCACTCGCAGTATAATTTCTTGACACTATGCCATGGATGCTGAAGAAGTGTGTTTGTCATGTGGGGCTGACAGATCACACGGTCCTTGTTTTCCACCCGTCGTCTTCTGTTTCTTGTTTGTTGGTCCTTCTCATGTCACCTTTGATTCCACACTTTTATTACTTGAGTGTGTCGGGGCAATGATACTCAGCACTCCTGTTATTTCAGCCTCAGAGTTCTCCTTTATTTACAGTCATTTTTATTTGACTGATCAGTTCTGAGTCTAGTCATTATTTAACACAGATGATTGTGGTTCATGCTCCCACTCTCTTACTGTTGACAACACTGTTACTCTTATCAGTGTTATCTTAAATATATTCAGCAGTGCTGTGTCTTTATTACCAAGTGGAACACAAAGCTCTGAAGTAGCTGCAACAGTGAGCTTAGATTGAGCCCCACTCAGCACCATCATTTTAAAATGTAGCACTAGCAGTGAGTCAGACTTTGTCACCAGGCCCCACTGATGTTATTGTGACAGTCAGAACAAAATGCCTTTGAACTGAACTCAAATGTTGTACTGCTAATGACAGTTAATGCCCCTCAGTTTTTTCCACTTTCAGTCACATTCAAACACCCACATTATCTCTTGATGAACTGAGCATTTCCAGGAAGGACCCAAATTCAGAAACCATTGATTTCTTTCTTTGAGGTGAACCCGACTGTAAAACTGATGCTGATCATTTTAATGCAAATTTGTTGGCAGGTCAAAGTTATGTCAGTGGGAGGGACTGAAACCTGCCTGGTTACACAGAAACTTAATTTGATGGTTCTGATTATACACAAGCAAGTACACAGTTTACTCCACTGTAGGTCACAGTTTCTGTATAAGCTAATAAAGCATAAACATCTTCCTACTTCCTACCGAACTGAAGTGTGCTAAACAGGTTATCAGTAATACTGAGGTTGCTCAGCAGTTTCTGTTTTTAGACAAATGGACTGACTTCAGTAAAGCTTTTCACTTTTTACCTCTTTGTCTATTAACACAGGTGTGCTGGATTCTTCTGATACCCACTCAAATGTGTCTCTGGTGTCCAGCAGGCTGAAGATTGTCATGTTTGCCCTTTTCTTTATGTCTGTGAAATTTGCAATACAAAATCCAACATTGATCATGAAGTGTGTCTTGCAGGCTAGCTGTTTTCACTATTGAGTGATTGCTTAGTGCAGGGGTGTCAAACTCAAATACACAGTGGGCCAAAATTCAAAACTGGAACAAAGTCGCGGGCTAACATTAATATTTATTGAAA